GCTATGTGAGGTAGTGGATGCTGGACATGAATGGACTACAGTTAACAAAAGACCACGCATTTTGGAGAACATTCTGTCGTCACCAGATGTTTCATCAACACTTGATCGCATAAATTTATCTGACCAGAAGTTTACAATTTTGGCAGCAGCAATTGCTAAAGCCAGTGGACAGGACCTACAAAGCACGCCATTGTCAAGATCAACAGTACGTCGCAAACGTATTGAACACCGATCTTCAACAGAAAATTGTATTCGGCAGGAGTTTCTCTCCAGTGAAAAACCGCCTCTGGTGGTCCACTGGGACGGTAAAATCATGCGAGACAGCACGAACTTAGAGGATCCAAAGTCCAATGTTGACAGAATTGGTGTTAGTGTGACTGGTGTAGATTTGGAGAAAATCTTGGGAATTGTCAAGCTTCCAGCGGGCACTGGGGTAGCACAAGCCAAGGCAACATTCCAGTTGGCCAAAATATGGGATGTTGATAGTGAAATCGTTGGCATGTGCTTTGACACCACAGCTTCGAATACGGGCTCCAAAAATGGTGCATGTGTCTTGCTGGAACAACTAATTGGGAGAAACCTTCTATACTTAGCTTGTCGACACCACGTGCATGAAGTGATTATTGGTGAAGTGTTCACAGTTTTGCTTGGCCCAAGCCGTGGCCCAAACATTGCTCTATTTGAACGTTTTCAGCAGTCTTGGCCAACTATTGACCAAATGAACTTTGTTCCACTTGATGATACGCGACTTACAGTTCCACAGCTGCAACAACTCAGAGCAGAATTTGGTCCTTTCTTGCTGTCTTTTCTGTCAGGTCAAACGTCATATCTACCACGAGAGGACTACAAGGAAATGATTGAACTTTGCCTCTTGATATTGGGTTTCACACTACCAAGCCATCCAGCTGGTGGAAAGCCATATCATTTCAGACAGCCGGGTGCCTACCATATGGCAAGATGGATGGCAAAGGTCATATATTGCATGAAGATTTTCCTGTTCAGGAATGAATTCAAACTGACTTCAACTGAGGTGAAAAACCTGTCTGAATTTTGCATTTTTGCAGCTCACATTTATGTACCAGCTTGGATTGCTTGTCCAGTGGCAAGTGATGCACCATTGAATGATTTGATGCTGTTTCAGAGAATAAAAAGATATGCTGAGGTACACAAGATTGTTTCACAAGCAGCTTTGAAGAAATTGCAGAATCACATGTGGTATCTTGGAACAGAAATGGTTCCTCTTTCACTGTTCTCCAGCAAAGTATCTGATGAAGAAAAGAAGTTGATTGCGGAAGCCATGATCCTCAGTGGAGATGATTGGAGTGTCAGGGGAAACAAGTTTCCAGTATCAAAATGTAATGAGTTGGAGAAAAAGCAACTACATGAACTGGTAACATCATCATCAACAGCTGCATTGCAGTCACTTGGACTTGACATAACTACCTTGTCAGGACTTGAGCCCCCGAGTTGGGAAGAAAGTGCTTCATTTCGAAAAACCAAAGCTGTTGTTGCTTCTCTCAAGGTTATCAATGATACTGCCGAGCGCTCTATTGCACTGATGAGTTCTTTAAACCAGTCAATAACAAAGACAGAGTCTGAAATGCAGAAACTCCTCCAAGTTGTTGAGGACAACAGGAAGCGCATTCCAGATTACCGGAAAAGCACCCTGATGGCATATGCCCCTCGGTAGACGTCGCAAGCTTGAAAACTGAAATAAGTTGAACTTTGAACACGTGAACAATAAATGAGCATGCAATAAAAATCTGAACGAACATGTTTAAAAATTGCTGTTAATTTCTTTGATATTAATTTTGATAAATTAAAAATTGTTAATGTGTGACTGATTGTGTCTGCACTGTCTGTGTCATAACCAGTATGTCTTTTTGAAATGAATAGTAATGTATCTATCACATTTTATCATCTTGTGATTCTAGTTTGAAGATTTCAGTCAAAAAAGTGCAGCCGCGGCAAGTTTATCTGTACTGTTAAACTTCACCTCCATTGAGCAACTTGTAAATATCAAAATATAAATGCCAAAATTTGCATAAAAGTTAGTTTCCATCAAAGGAACAAAATGAGATACTGTGCTAGGTTGAATTCAAAAATTTTTTTTTTTGGACATACCTACATAACATTGACAACTAGTTAAAATTTGAATAATTAATCTCTTTAAAAGCATAACAAACTATATATCAATAGAAAGCTAAACAAATGAACTTTTTAATTATATAAGTTTTTAACATGCATCATTGAACAATAAGAAATGCAAAGTGTTTAAAACCATTGTTTTATAAATAGTAATTAAAATATTACAAGTCCAAAACAAAACTCATTTAATGTATAAAAAGAATGTTTTTAATTACTAGTGCTAAATACTAGCTAAATACTTCTAATAGGGTGATAAATACTTCTATGAGTTAAATTTTACAGTGTTAATGCTGCTTTATTTTAGAACTAAATTTAAAGAAGTTTTTTTAATCAAGGATTACTCAAGATTTTTTAACTTTGTCAAGTGATAATTTTTTATAATAACACAATTTGACTCTTATTTGTTCTTGATTATGTAGAAATTTAATTAAACCTTAAGATCTACGATG